AGCTGATCAGCCACAGCTGACGGCGATCTCCCTGATTGGCTCCGCCCAGCCTGCAGTGAACAGACACACACACCAAAGCACAGAGACAAAAACCCAAAAACCCAGTGAACAAAGTCTAGGATCCTCACACTAGGAGCAGAAATGCTTTCTTGCAAGGATGGTTTTCCATTTGCAGTTACTGTTGTGTGAGCTTGTATTATGTGGATCTGCCTGGTTATTATGTGCACAGGTTTTGATACTAATTGAACACCATACTTTTGCTGATGCTGTGCTACATGTATGAACTGTAAGTTTTGTCACACTTTTCTCTTCGGTGATATCGTTGAGTTTCAGTTCTTAACTCAGTAGATGGAGATCAATGATTGACATCAACCTTTTCACACAGTGGTAAACCTCACACCTAGATAGACTCTCTAATCACACTGACTTTCTGAGGCTCGGCCCTAGTGCTCTACAATAGGCAGCCCATTATAGCTTGTTTGGACAGTTGGTCTATACTTGGGTTAGCATTGGGTTTTGCATCAGATTTTTGTGCAAATCAAGAGAAAGTAGTCATATGAACTGCAAACATTGTATCCAGCAAAACTCTTCTGTTATGCTGGATGTGAAGGAGAAAGCATTCCCATCATGTTGTAGGTTCCTGCCCTGCAGAGTTCCTCTTAACTTAATCATCTAATAATTCTAAGCAAGACAGCTGACTGAATGCCCCATGTTGTTATGATTGCAGTAGTCCCACCCAGCATAGGCGCATGCTACCAAATACTCTATGAAACTAGATCTAACAGGTAGATGTGTCGACAGCTGATTGAGCACATATTTCACATAAAGGTCTGCGAAGCTAATTGAAACAGTGTGGATGTGCCAAATAGCTCTGCAGCAGCCTGTAATCTGGAGTGGTACTTGCTCTCCGACATCCCACAAGTTCCTTAGTCACCGAGATGTTCCGGGCGGGTAATTACCTCCTGCTGTTCATTAAAATATGTGTATAAATGTGAAAGCTTATATGTTCAAATACATTATTTTTTTCAGATGACAGTGTTTGTTAATATTTTACTTAAAGCCTAAATTGAGTTCAACTATCAAGTACATGTTAACACAAATCAAAATCATCATGCTAAATCCGAAAACTGTATTGCTGTGGAGCAGAAGTAAAATGATTCTTACGTTAGAAGATTTTCTGCAAAGCAAAGCACAGAGACTTTTTTACCAAATTTAAATTTTAGATTATGTTACAGACAACTGTTGCTTGATTAGTTGTGCCTGAAAATGCTAGAGAAAAAAGTAGCAGTGCCCAAGTGCATGTTAACGCTTTCCTTGGCAAAAATCTGCCATTTAATGTTGTTGGTTCTGTTGTCTGGGAAAAGAAAAGTTCCGTAAACATGACAGTGTAAGTTTCAGTAACTAAAGTTGTCCATTACATCTGCAGCAGACCCATTTGGAGGAGACCCATTCAAAGAGACTGATCCATTCAAGGCTTCATCAGAAGACTTCTTCAAAAAGACCACAAAAATGGATCCCTTCTCCACTCCAGACCCCTTCAGTAAAAGTGCCACCTTGCCTTCCAAGGTATGCACACACACACACACACACACACACACACCCCAAAATGGTGTCATATGTGTGTTTTCAGCGTGTGCGAGCTAAAGTTTCACATGGTCGCATTGTGCGAGTGAATGATGATCATCATGCTGATCTGGTTCCTTCAGTCGGCTCTGGTAACTGCTGCTCCAGTTATTGTGGTTGGAAATAGTCATATTTCATCAGCTGGTGCGACCAATGAAGAAAGTTGGTAACACCAGTGCTACCATGCCCTGCTACATGTATTTTACTTTTAGATAAAGGCATGCACAATAGTTTTACATATAATAAATAACAATCAAATGCAGAGACAATTATTTAACCATATGTTAAGGAGTCATTACGTTTATACAGTCTTACAATTACAACAGGCCCTTTGAGGGCTAACATAATGCTTATGTGGCCTGGGATGAAAATGAGTTTGACACCCCTGTACTAGAGGGATGAACACCATTCTTTCAAAAGGTATTCCTTCGGTGTTTTGATGATGGTAGGGCAGAAGGCTGGCTGACACGTAGCAGCAAACTACCATGCAGGGCTGCTGGCCTGATCTTGAGATTCTGCATCTTTTTCTTCTAACGCTTTGAAATGTAGACCGGGGAATCAGGGGACCAAGCCACCAACTGTGCAACTAGTGAATGACCTATTCTGCCTCCTGAGCCACTGTTGCTCTACAAACTTAAAAAACCCAATGCCTATGCCAAAAGGAATTATTTTCTTCCACAGTAAACAGAAATGTGGACATTTTTTAGATTTATGTAAAGAAGAAAACACTACTCTGAGGACATTTTAAAGTTTGAGTGGATTGGATTAGATTTACTATTAACAGAGCATTTCTTTCTATGTTTCCTACAGCAAGCCAGTCACTTCACAAACAGTGACCCATTTTCCTCAAGCCACCCAAAACCCAAAGGACCAGGTACGATTTAATTTGTTATTTCACCACAATGCTTTTGGACACCCTGAAGTATTTTTACCTCAAAAATGAAATGAATCTTTCAGTCTATGTTTTCTCCAATGTCTAAAAAGGATAAGAGACCATTTAAGAAAAAAAACAAAGCATGCCTTGCAAAGCCACCAGCAGGTTCGGGAGAAACGACAGGGTTAGAACCGTGAAATAAAGTAATCCACGGAGAACAACAATGACAAACTTCAAAGTCTGAAAATGTGCTGGGGTAACACTAAAAAGAGGGCTAAAGGTGTGTAGCTGCAACTGGGTTATTAAATCAGTCTCCATATTCCAATCTTGTGAAGAATCAGATCACCAAATTCAGTTGGCAGAAAATCAGTCTCACGAAGGATGTTAAACTATCAATATGAAACTCTGATTAATAGTTAAATCAATAACTACAAACACAATTACCATATCAATAGCTGGATTGAAGTATTTTCAATTTCTAGGCAGTGCAAAAGCAAAGTCTATAATACAGCTGAAGACATAATACTAACACCCTTGGGAAATTTTAGGATTTTTTTCAGAAAATTCCCAAGTGCTGTTAAACAAATCAAGGAATTTTTAACACAGCTTTTCCAAACATCCCAGTTTTGTTTTGGAAGCTTACTCTATTTTACATTGCACACAGAAAGAAATTATTTAACAATTCTACAATTCTATGATTTAATTTAGCAGACGCTTTTATCCAAAGCGAAGTACATTTGAGAGCGGATACAACACAAGCAAGGATCTAGTCAGGAGAAAACAATCTAGATAAGTGCCATACAATAAGTCGAAGTGTGATCCGCGTTGATGCCAATAGCAGGCTGTGTGGGAGGAAATAGGAAAAATGTATGTATGTATGTATGTATGTATGTATGTTTGTTTGTTTGTTTGTTTGTTTGTTTGTGACCTTGTGTTTGACCGTGACATTTTGTCCAAGGTCAAATGTCACATCACCAATATGGGTTCCTATCTGATTGCAATAAGAAGTTATGTGTTCATCTTACACTTTTTCCAAGTTATAATGGATTTAAAATTTGTGATGATTTTAGACCTTCAGTGTGACCTTGACCTTTGTCTCAAGGTCATATGTTACATCACCAGTTTATAGGCCTCGAATATCTTCCTAAGCTAGTATACTGTTGGGCGGGTGTGGCTCAGGTGGTAGAGGGAGTTGGTCAATGATCAGAAGGTCAGCGGCTGGAGGTCAGGGACGTGAAGCTCTGGATCCACAGACGTCTGCAGGGAAACCAAACACAGGACCTTGGGGGAAACACAAAGTTAGTGACATGTAATGGTGGTTATAACTGTATGGAAGGAAGGGAGAGGAGAGGAGAGGAGAGGAGAGGAGAGGAGCTCAGTACATCATTAGAATCCCCCAGCAGTCTAAAGCTATAGCAGCATAACTAAGGGACAGTTCAGGTGATCCTGAGTAGCCCTAACTATAGGCTTAACAAAGAGGAACGTTTTAAGCCTAACCTTAAAAGTAGAGAGGGTTTCTGCCTCCCAAGCCCAAACTGGGAACTGATTCCATAAGACAGGAGCCTGATAACAGAAGGCTCTGCCTCCCATTCTACTTCTGGAAACTCGAGGAACCACAAGTAGACCTGCAGTCTGAGAGTGAAGGGCTCTGTTAGGATGATACAGTACAAAGGTAAACTGGAGCTTGGTCATTGAGAGTTTTATATGTTTGAAGCTTGATTTTAAATTATATCCTGGATTTTACAGGGAGCCAATGAAGAGAAGCTTATACGGGAGAAATATGATCTATCTTACTGTTTCCTGTCAGAACCCTGGCTAAAGCATTTTGGATCAACTCAAGGTTTTTAAGAGAATTATTTGGACATCCTGATAATAAGGAACTAATCAAGAAGTTATAAATGCATGGACTAGTTTTTCAGCATCACTCTGAGACAAGATATTTCTGATTTTTGCAATATTGCGTAAATGAAAAAAGGCTGTCCTACAAACTAATTTTATATGGCTATTGGTCAAAAACAACTCCAAGGTTCTTCACAGTAGAACTGGAGGCCAAGGCAATGCCATCTTGAGTAGCAATCTGGTTCGATAGTGTTTTTCTGAGGTGTTTAGGGCCAAATACAATAACCTTAGTTTTGTCTGAATTTAAATGAAGGAAATTACAGGTCATCCAGGCCTTAATGTCCTTCAGACATGCCTGGAGTTTGATTGGTTTCATTTGGATTCATAGATAAATATAGCTGGGTGTCATCTGCATACCAGTGGAAATTTATGCAGTGCTTCCTAGTAATATTGCCTAAAGGGAGCATGTACAAGGTAAATAATATAGCTCCTAACACAGAGCCCTGTGGAACTCCATAACTAACTCTGCTGTGGGTGGAAGAATCATCACTCACATGAACAAACTGGAATCTGTCTGATAAATATGATTTAAACCAATTTAGTGCCGTTCCATTAATCCCAATTAAACATCCCAGTCTCTGTAATAAGATGCTGTGATCCACTGTATCAAATGCAGCACTGAAAAAAAAAGTATAGAAACTAGTCCACTATCTGAAGCTATAAGAAGATCATTAGTGACCTTCACCAGTACTACCTCTGTACTATGATGCATTCTAAAACCTGATTGAAACTCTTCAGACAAACCATTTCTATGCAGATAATCACATAATTAGCTTGCAACAACTTTTTCAAGAATTTTAGAAATAAAAGGGAGGCTGGATATGGGCCTATAGTTAGCTAAAACGCCTGGCTCTAGAGTAGGCTTTCTGAGTAGTGGTTTTATTATAGCTACTTTAAAAGCTTGCAGTACGTAGCCTGTTAACATAGAGAAGTTGATGATATTTAATATTGCAATATTTTTTAGAGGAAAGATTTCCTTGAACAGTCTAGTTGGGATTGTGTCAAACAGACATGTTGCTGGTTTAGAAGAATTTGCTATTGACGTGAGCTCTGAGAGAATCTGGTCCTATGAATGCATCCAGAGCTGCTGCACCTAAAGACATGTTAATAATTTTTTGTCTAATATTCAAAACTTTATCAGTGAAGAAGGACATAAAGTCTTCACTGCTGAGAGCGAAAGCAACACAAGGCTCCACAGAGCTGTGGCTCTTTGTCAGCCTGGCTAGAGTGCTGAAAAGAAATCTGAGGTTGTTCTTGTTTTCCTCAATTAGGGAGTAAATGAGATTCTTCTGAATTTGTAGAGTGCCACTGTCTTTCCAGCTTTCTTAATTTCTGTTTTAAGATGCGCAGCTGTTGACTATACCATGGAGCTATTTTATTGTAATTAATTGGCTTCTTTTTCAATGGGGCAACAGCATCAGTTGATGAACGCAGTAAAGCTGCAGTTCTATCAACAAGATTATCCACCTGTATGGGACTAAGATTTGAGGAGCAGCTCTCTGTTGTGTTGGCATATGGCATTGAAGTAAATAATGTGGAACCATTTCCTTAAATTTAGTTATTGTGTTATCGGATAGACATCTGTTGTAATGGAACTCTTTGGTAGGTGTTCCGTGGTCCATTGTTGTAAATTAAAATGTTATTTAAAATGATCAGATAGAATACAGTTTTGTTTAAAAACAGTAGGATGTTCAATTTCTGACCCATATGTCAAAACAAGATCAAGGGTGTGGTTAAAACTATGAGATGGTGTTTACATTTAGAGAGAAGCCAACTGAGTCTAACAATGAACTAAATGCAAAGCTGAGACTGTCGTTCTCATCGTCTACATGGATATTTAAATCACCCACTATAATAACTTTATCTGTACTGAGCACTAAATCAGCTGAGAACTCTGAGAATTCAGATAGAATAAGAATAGAATTATCACTCAGTTTGGGTCTCTGGTTAATTCATAGGTTTGAGTGGAAGATTGCTGCCTCTCCTCCCCCTCTGCCTGTACTTCTAGGTACATGAAAATTAATATGGGGGGACTGGGGGGAGTTGATTCATTTAGACCAGGGGTCTCAAACTCAACTTGGCTTGGGGCCACTACTGGTATTGTCATCTCTTAGGAGGGCCATATCAGCATTCACGTACGACAAGACAGCAAATTCCATACAACATATTGTCATACTAGACTGAAAAACACAATCAACAGTTTTTAGACAGTTTTATACAGTTTTTTAACAGAAAAAGTCCCTTAATTAACTTTGCAAAGAACTAAGAAATGCAGTCCTTAAACACATTTGTAACTCTACTCTATTTCTTTGTTGACACCTGGCAGCACTTCTGCTCACACAAATGAGCTACATTTGCCCTGATGGAGTTCACAGTTGAAGTCCTGAGTACAGCTTCAAGATGTGCATCACTAAGCCTGGACCTGTACTTGCACTTACTAAAGTTCATAGCAGAGAAAAGTTTCTCACAAAGATATGTGCTTCCAAAAAGACACAACACCCGACTAAACACTTTGGAGAGCTCTGGGTAGGATGGAGCTAATTCTCTCAGAAATTGTTCAGTCTTGTCTGCTCTTCCTTGTGCCTCTAAATCTATTTTTCAGTTCACTGTTGCACTGCAAGTCAATAAGTTCCATTTGCAACACACTTGGGACACTCTCCACATCAACTGAGAAGGGGTCTGCAAACAGCTTAAAAGTGCCATGATGTGCTTTGGAGTCAGCAAAACGCAGTTAAAATTCCTGCAGTAGGTTTTCAATAGCAAATGTGTATTCATCACCACTGAATGCTGCACCTTCCTCCACAACAGATCTGCATGTTGGGAAATGACTGAGGTTTTTTGCAGCAAGCTGAGTTTTCCACAGTTTCAGTTTTGTAGTGAAGGCTTTTACACTGTCACAAGCTGCTGTGATGAGCTGAGCAGGGCCCTGCAGCTTCAGGTTAAGAATATTCAGCTGCTCTGTAATGTCCACTAAGAATGCAAGGTCCATTACCCATTTTGGATCCTCAAATTCAGGGACAGCCATTCTTCCATCCTCCATGAATCTCTTCACCTCTGATCTTAACTCAAAAAATCTCCTAAGTACATTTCCCCTGTTGAGCCAGCGCACCTCAGTAAAGTAAAGCACATCACCATATGCCGACTCAATTTCTTCTAAAAAGGCACGGAACTGGCGGTGCTGTAAACTCCGGGACCTGATGTAATTAATACATTTCAAAACAACAGACATGACATGTTCATATTTGAGGCATTTGCTGCACAGTGCTTGTTGGTGAATGATGCAGTGCAAAACCACAGCTGGATCTGCGTTCTCCTCCTCTAACTTCCTCTGTAACAACGCTACTAGTCCGTTTTTTCTGCCTGTCATGGACGGGGCTCCATCAGTCGTAATGCCGACCAGTCTGTTCCATGGCAACCCAGCGCGTTCAATCGCATCATGCAGCTGCTGGAATATGTCCTTGGCTGTTGTGCGCTCGTGCATTGGACACAAACTTAGAAACTCTTCTATCACTTCAAATTGTTCATTGATTCCCCTGATGAAAATGACTAGCTGAGCATTGTCAGTGTTATCTGTGCTCTCATCAAGAGCGACAGAGTATGCAGCGAAAGCGCTAGCTTTGGTGCGTAACTGCTCATATATGTCACTTGATAACTCGCTAATCCGCTCTGCCACGGTGTTTGCCGACAGAGAGATATTATTAAATAGGCTCTTCTTTTCTGGACATAAGATATCAGAAACTTGCAACATGCAGTCCTTCAAAAACTGTCCGTCGGTGAATGGTTTTCCAGCTTTGGCAATTAACTCACTCACCACATAACTAGCTTGAACTGCAGCGTCAGCGTCCTTCTTGGCTTTATGAAAGAGTTTTTGCTGAGATGTTAGCCCTCTCTGCAGCTGTGTAGCTCGTTGTTTCCTCTCATCTCCCTGGTATTTCTCATATTGTTCTCCGTGTTTAGCCCAGTAATGGTGCTTGAGATTATATTCCTTTAGAACAGCGACTTTTTCTTTGCATATCAAGCAGGTAGCATTTCCACTGAACTCTGCGAAAAAATACTGTAATGTCCATCTTTCTTGAAACTGTCGGTGTTCATCATCCACTTTTCTTTTTGATTTGGAAAGAGACATCCTTGTTGTTAACAGCCCCAAATCCAGCTCTCCCTTCATCTAAAACTGGCGGAAAAACGCGGGCACGTGCTTAACCTTTGACATTACCTTTGCCCGATAGAAATATTTTTTCGTTTTTTTTTTTCATTTTCTTTTTAAATGTATTTATTTTTTATTATAGATTATAGATGATAACTCAAACTGACATGAAACAACTGCAAAATATATGTAAATGAAAAAATAACTTCGTGGGCCAGATTACATTATATTTTTCACATGGGCTGCGGGCCGGTTGGACGGGGAGGAGGGGCCGCAAATGGCCCGCGGGCCGCCAGTCTGAGACCCCTGATTTAGACTAACGTATTTTTCATGCTGCAGCCAAGTTTCAGTCAGACACATTAAGTCAGCATGATGATCTGTTATCAGATCATTAACTAAAAGAGACTTAGATGACAGAGATCTAATATTTAATAGTCCACATTTAATTGTCCTATTTTAGTCAGTGTTTTAGTCTTGCAAAGCCTTTGTTAGATATAAAGCTGTCAACCACTAAGTTTCAACCTTTCACAACTTTTTTTTTTTTTTTTTAACTTTTGAAATGATACTGATGCCATAGGTTAACTCTTACTTTTATGTCTGATGTCAGAGAGTGCATTCTACATCTTTCAATAGCTGTTTGTTCTCTGTAGCACAAAATAAACCTCATTTCATTTTCAAGAAAAGCTTCACTTCATTCATTCCAGGATATTAATGTAGTCCGTGCAAACACGCGTGCACTATGGGTCAGCTTGAATGCCTCACTAATTGGAGAAACTTGAGCCTGTCACCATACTCTGACCACTGTTTACTCAGACAGTTAAGCAACCAACCATGTTGGTTTGCCTATTAAAACCATGGCTGCCGAGGAAAGGTGTCACATTTGCCTACATGGTGCTACAAGTGAACTTATCCACTCAGATTTTGTTGTGCCAGTCCTACTTCAAATACAGCTTGATAATAGTCACACAAGATCTGGTTAGGCCGATTACTTGCGACTGTAAAGAGTTAACATTTTCAATACTTATCCTAACTTGTCTTAACATATCATCTCATTGCATGCAATGTGTAAGCAGCCCTGCCACTGCTATAGAAATATGGTCAATTCTGGATGGTGTCGTAGCATACAGTATAAGAGTTTATGGAAAAAGTTAATAGAAGAGTATTTCCTCTCCTGAACAATCTAACACACATATTGATTGGGGGAGGGTTGACTCCTTCCCACCGTTGCTGACCGCTTGCTCAGATGGAGTCCAAAGGCAACTTTGGATTGTTGGGTTCTCTGTCTAAAATTTGTAAGGTCTGTATCTTACTATGTTAAGTGCTGTGAGATAACATATGCTGTGAATTGCGCTCTAAAAATAAAATTGAATTGAACTGAATTGAATTGAATAGATATTTGTTGTAACTGTGTTATTTTTAGATCTCTTTGGCACGTTGGACCCGTTTGGCAGCAGTTCATTCAGCAGCAGCAGTAACAGTTCCACTGGATTTGCAGACTTCAGCCACATGTCAAAGCCCAGAGACCCTTTCGAAGGAAGGGCCAGTTGGCTACCTGACTACCAGAAGGTACCAGAAGCCAAACTTATCTTGGATGCACACTTTCTGGGCTGACAGACTTTCCCAGTCTCGTACTGCAGAGATAGTGCCTTCATGCTGTATTGCTGAGCCAATACAGTATAATTACTGAAGAGTTTCAGCATAGCAACAGTAATAATAGCAGTACTGTCCATGCAAGTAATTTATCATTGTGATGGTGATGGTGTTATCTTTTATTGGTCATATTTCATTGTTGTGTTTCAGAGCTCTTATTACCTAATTTGTCTTATAGCCTGTCAGATTATAGTGCATCAATAAAACATATTTCTCTTACCACTCCTTTCCAGCCAGTTTTTGTGGAGGACCCATTCAGCAGGAAGAATGACACACCAGCTCTGCCTCCGAAGAAAAGCGTTCCCCCGAGACCCAAACCACCCAGTGGTGAGTGTCCCACTGCATCTGCTTTTCATGGAATCAGATTTGTGATGTTATAATCAAACAAAAATCTTCAATATCAAACAAAAATACAACCTTGAGAATAAAACTCATTGAAGCAAAAAACAAAACAACAACAAAAAAACAAAATGCAGTCTTCCCAACAGTCAAGTTTATAACTAAAAAAATAATTATTTGTGTACTGCTCTCTATGTGTTGTACTGCCGCAGTGTTATGACAGATTAAACAGCCAGCCAAACTCTTTTGAGAGTCAGGAAAACGAGCAGCCATGCTCCTTTAATGACCGTCAAACAGAGTGAAACTAAAAAAACAAGAGAAGATACAAACTCTCAATTATACATGTAAGAATTACAATCACACACAAAGTACCTTCAAGAACTTACTGGATAAGTAACACCGAAGCTAACCTTTACTCAGTATGCAAGTGAATATGGCTAAAGTTGGCACGTAGCTACGGCTAACGCATGTGATTGGCATTGGCATATATCCGCATTCACCCATAAGTTATTGCCATACAAGGCCAACACACAACTTACAGTTATTGAGTTCTGATGGACTGAACACACGAGAACCTGATGGACAAGACGCCGGAAGAAATCACACATCCATTCCGCGTTTTCTACAATAATACATTCATACCCACTTCCGCAGTGTCACTTCCTGTGTCAAAATAAAAGTGCTATGACAAAGAACAACAAAAAATGATGCAAAGTACATTCCAAACAATAGGCAGTCTGAACCTACCAAAAATAACAAATCTAATCAATGAACAACCTGTCATATTGAGGACAGAGCAATTTGTGTGATCAAAAATATGCAATAACCCCTGAAAGCATTGAGATATAAATTTGAAATTCAACACACATGTTCTTAAATTTTCCCCAAGCTTATCTATTAAAGTGCCTCACCTCTAGGGGGCATCACAAATGCAAAATGTCTTAGAATTAACTGCATGGACTTGTACAAAATCAGGTTTGCATAACCTAAAATCATAACTCAGTTTTGCTTAAATTTTGATATTTGGTAGTTAAATCAGATGTGTCTAACTACAAGAAATCAAAATTTCTAGACATTTCACACTTCAAATACTCCAAAAAATGACCTGTACTTCTGATAGAGCTGAAATTTTTTCAGCACATCCACTGATGTATGACAAAAGTTTGCCTCGCTGCAACCTATAGGAAATTCCATCTGTCACTCCATATCTTTTCAAATATGTAACTCCAGCAACTGAATGAGCAATTGAAATCATGAGCATTATTTTGATGTTTTCAAAATGAATGATGAAAACACCTCTGTGAATACTGGCCATGGTGAGCAAAATAGGGCTTATCTTAAAATGAAAGTAGGTCCTTAGCTTCTTTATCCAAAACTGAAATACATGATTGGTGATTACCACACAACCATCATGCCTATGTGTCTTCTTGAACAGTGACCAGAGAAAATGTACAATGAGTGAGGGAATTGTACGTAACTAGACAGTAAGGAAATTGTTGCACTGATAAATGAATGTTTGATAAGTAAACCCAATAAATTACTGCTCCAATAATGGAAATTTGGCTGATAATTCCATCCAATAATATAGAACATGGCTACAGAGTAGGGCTTTTTGCCTGTTGGCCATTCTGTCCTGCCATGAGGCTGGGGCTGACGTTCTCACACACAGAGTAGATAGCAGGGCAAAGACCACAGCACAGAGAATAAAACAGACTTGAGGTTACATTTTACCTGAAAAGATGACAACAGTACTCATTACCCACAGGTGCAGTAAAATTAACCTGTAAGGAATACAGTTTAAACCAGAAATTTACATCCACTGTATAAAAAGACGCACAACCTTTTTTTTCTCACTTTCTGACATTAAATGCGACTAAATCTTTCCTGTTTTAGGTCAGTTAGGATTACCAAAATTATTTCTATTTGCTAAATGCCAGAATAATGAGAGAGAGATTTTTTTTTTTAGAGAGATTTTTTATTACTTTCTTCAAAGTCAGAAGTTTACATACATTTCCTCAGTATTTGGTATCATTGCTTTTCAACTGTATAACTTGGGTCAAACGTTTTGGGTTTCCTTCCACAAGCTTCTCACAATAGTTTGATGAATTCTTGCCCATTCCTCCTGACAGAACTGGTGGAACTGAGTCAGGTTTGTTGGCTGCCTTGCTCCACACGCCTCTTCAGCTCTGCCCACAAATTTTCTACAGGATTGAGATCAGGTTTTTGTGATGGCCACTCCAAAACATTGACTTTGTTGTCCTGAAGCCTCTTTGTAACTAATCTGGCGGTATGCTTAGGGTCATTGTCCATTTGAAGACCCATTAGTGGCCAAGCTTTAACTTCCTGGCTGATGTCTTGAGATGTTGCTTCAATATTTCCACATAATGTTCTTTCCTCATGATGCCATGTATTTTGTGAAGCGCACCAGTCCCTCCTGCAGCAACCCCAAAAAGACCAAAAAGCTCATCTTTCTTTCTACCAGCAGCATCTGTTAGTCTGTTATAGTAGCAGTCACAGATGAGAGGAGCAGTGATGGCACAGGACTGTTCGTCAATTTATTCAGGGAAGGACTTTAGGTAACCATTACTTAGTCCAACAGTATGGTAAGTTCTGATGGTTTTTGTAGCCTGTATCTGTTTGTCAAAAAAGAAGAAAAGGTGTGATATTAGTTATTCTACAGCAGGGGTTTTCAAACTATGAGGCGCGTCCCCTGTCGGGGGCGCCAGAGTTCTTCAGGAGGGGCACAAAAAATAACTGTAAACACTGTTAACAAACAAAAGAAGATGGGGAAAAAAGGAAAAAGAAAACATTTTTAGCTAGCTTGCCAGGAGCGAAATGGATACATTTTTGTTGCCTACATCTACCAGGGGGCAACCAAAAAAAGAAGAAAGTATGACGATGATTATTTAAAGTCAGGATTTTCATGCACTGGTTCGGAAGATGCCCCACTGCCACAGTGTGTTGTGTGTAAAGAGGTGCTATCTATCGATATGAGACTATGTTGACTCCGGCATCACATCGCCACCAAGCACCCAAATTTGGTCACCAAGCCTCTGGAGTTTTTTGAGAGGAAGCTGAATGAACTGCTGTCCCCCCAAAAAACGATCCAGATATTTACTACTGTAAATGAAAAGGCAACCAAGGCATCACATCGGGTTACATTACGCATAGCAAAGCAGGTAAACCCCACAACATCGGTGAAACATTAATCTTACCTGCTGCAAAAGATATGTGTTGTGTGATGATGGGAGACGCCGCAGCCGCCAAGCTAAATATCATCCCGATGTCAGACAAGACTATCCAGCGCCGCATCTCAGACATGGCATCTGACGCGAAGGAACAGGTGCTGGACACTGTTCATGAGAGCCCTTTCTTTTCTATTCAACTGGACGAGTCTACCAACGTCGCTGACTGTGCTCAATTAATGTGCGTTATGTTAAAGAGCACAATATCCACGAGGAATTTTTTGTTTTGCCATCCTCTGCCTACTCGTACTACAGCAGAAGAAATATTCAAGGCTTTGAATGATTTCATGCGGGAGAGTTGCATTGATTGGAGCCGCTGTTGTGGAATATGCACTAATGGTGCCAGGTCAATGACAGGCCGCCACAGCAGTCTGGTGAAGCAGGTGGAAGCGGTTGCCCTGGACGCTGTTTGGACGCACTGTATCATCCATCGCCAGGCCCTGGCAACCAAGAAGATGCCAAAAGAGCTGCGCACAGTCCTGGACGAGGCGGTAAAAATTGTGATCCTAATTAATTATCTCCATCCTCTGCAATATGATGGGCGCTCACTTCCAACACCTGCTGCTGCACTCCGAGGTTTGATGGCTGTCCCGGGGCAAAGTCCTCACCCGCCTGTGTGATTTACGTGAGGAAGTGCTCCTATTTCTTGCTGAAATCAGCTCTCCATTGGTGAAGCATATGGAGGACATGAACTGGGTTGCAATGTTGGCGTATCTTTCTGATATATTTGACCGGATAAATGCACTGAAGAGCTCCCTGCAGGGCAAAGAGTGCCATGTCTTTATGGCACATGATCAGGTCTCTCCATTCAGGAAGAAGTCGGACCTGTGGTGTGCTCGTGTTAAAACATTCCCGACCTTGTAGGATGTCATAGAAAAGACAGGGCTGCAAGTGGACACTGTACAGCAGGTGGTCATTGCGCATTTGGAGGGGCTGCATGAGCAGTTCGTTGAGTATTTTGGAGAGGAGACCTTAGCTAATCAGTGGGTGAGAAATCCATTCTCCTTCTCAGTGTCATCCCGTGATGAGTTGACCAGGCAAGAGGAAGAGGCCCTTGTCTTAACTCTAGTATGGACTTGGAAAGAAAAAGCTGAGTGACGTGTTAGTTGTGCACTTTTGGCTGTCTGTGGAGACTGAGTTCCCCCACCTCTCAAAAAAGGCAATGCGTGAACTACTCCCCTTTGAAGCCACATACCTGTGTGAGTGCGGTTTTTCTGCACTCACACAGGTAAAAAGCAAGTACCGGTCAAGACTGCGGGTAGAGGATGATCTTCGTTTGCTCCTCTCCCCAGTGCATCCCTGCATCAGCCGCCTGTGCACGTCAAAGACCCAGACTCATTGCACGCACTAAACAAAAGGTGAGACTAGATGAAAGACTAAATATGTATAAAAGTTGAATTAAGATTATTTATGTTAAAATGTGTTAGTTATGTCAAAGACATGTAAAAACACAGATGTTTAAATGTTTAGTCTTTTTTTATTTAAAGAAACAATGTTTAAAATATGTCAAAAGGTAAAAATAGAGGAATAGAAAGTTCTATGAAAACACATGTTTAAAATGTTTTAAAAGGGAAGGGTGTAACGTGTAGAAGAATATGTTCTTTAAAAGCACATGTTTAAAGTGTTTGAGACGGTGTAAAATGTGTACAAGAATAGAAAGTTCTTTAAAAACGTGTTTAAAATGTTTACAAAGACTGTTAAATGTGTAAATGCATTGACAGTTACTTAAAAACACAAATATATTTAAAATGTGTTTAAGATGTGTAAAAGAATAAAAAGAAACACCCAAATATGTTGAAATTGTGTGTATGTGTGTCAGGGGGGGCGCAGCTATTCATTGTTCTCTAAGGGAGAACCACACTTTGAAAACAACTGCTCTACAGAATATTGTTAAGCAGTGGTGCTCTGTATATGTTATCTTTTGCGTAACTTTTCTTCTCCAACGTAAAAAGCACACCTTAAACTCAGGTCTGACAAGTCAACAGGAAAGAATGTCATTGTGGGTACAGAGAAGATAAAAGCCTTCATGTGTATGCCAAACCACTGCTGTCAGAGACTGTGTTTTCTATGTTGTTTCTCAAGTCAACTTGACGTGCAATGCCAAGGAAGCATGTCATATCATGTTTTACATCCTTTTGTACTGCAATGAGAAGGTTTTGTCAGGGGTGTAAAAATTTGTTTTTCTCATTACTCAGATAGTGTTTTGATACTGAATTGACTTTGATTAACTTTCACATCAGTGGCTTTTCTTCACTCATAATGTTTAATGTGTGAAGGTCACACTTAACTATCATACTGATGTAGCATGGAAAGTAAAATAAAAAATCATTAATAAATATTTAGTTTTTATTGTTTCTGGATATCAAGTCCCCAGCAGCTGTGCTGCATTGTCACATCAGCTGTCACACACAATGTACCTTGTGTCTTGGCAGTTCACACTGATTTTGTCAAAAGATACTTCTCTTGTTTCATGTCCTAGAATTAGCAAGACAATAAAGGATGCGTTTCTTGTGAAATGGAGGATATTTCTAAGAAAAAAGAATCTAATATACACTGTTTAGATCGATGAAGTTTGACACTTTTATAAAGTGGCAAGTGGTAAAATGACTTTCATGTTGAAAAATCAACAAAAAAAAACAATTTTAAGGGTGTTTTTTAAATATATGTTTTCCTGACAGGTTATTTATTAATTTTAGTGTAAAGCAAAATGAATTTACCTGTGACAGAATGTGCTATACAAATAACATTTCAGAGTGCTGCCTAAAGTGCAGATATCTGCAGTGGTGTCTGCTGACACCTGAATGTACTTGTATGTATGAATGCAACATGTCTGAATTTAAAATTTATTTTAAATCTGCTGGATAGTCACTAAAATTAGCCAGGTGCCTTTGTTGTTTGGTATACGTCTACACTGGTTATTGGTCTCACCCTAGTCAGTAACAGACTCTGTATCTCCCCCTGTAAATTGTGTTCCCCAAGACTTTATACCAAATTTTCTTTTTTTTTTCCTTTCTGGAGTGGAATAATGAACCTTTTCACCATTGCCAGTGGCTTGCCTTGTGAAGCTCAAAAGTCAAGTATGATCAAACCAAATCCCATTTAAAATTAGGTTAGTACTGGTGCAGCTCAAAAAATATTCTCTCACTTTCTCAAGTAACTGTGGCTTCAAAATGCCAACTGCTAGCTGAGATGACAAGTAATAGCCGTAGAAATTAATGACTTGGAAATACTTAAAAGATATTAAGAGTATGTTTGATTTAGCACTTTAATTTGTGGCTACAGTACAACTCTGTCTGTTTAGAACTCAGCATTCATACTGACAATATTGTGTTTCAGGATAAGCCACACTTGCTGCTCTACATATCTCACACACTTGCTGACTCAGTGGTTGTCAAAGGGAACTAAAGAGAAGTCTGTCAGAGCTTGGATGTCAGTCTTTTATTTGTTCAGACTCTAGCCAGCTTCAACTCCAAAGTTCACTCTGTGACACCCAAGGTTAAATGTCACATTAATGCTTTTGTGATTTTTTCATATATCTTGTATTATTATTGTTGCTCACAAATTGCTGCTTTGTTGTTTGTGTATGTGCACATGTGAAGGTGATGGTGTAAGAGCGTTAATGTGTGGTTTACTTAGCCTACTGTTAGCAGACACACCCTGACTTGCTTCCTCTCTCCTTCCCTTATGTGTATACGTGTTTACAAGGGTTAGTGGTTCAGAGAAATTCATTGTGTGCAGTTGGCAAATGGCAACATTTTTACTAGTTAAACTGTTGTCTTTCTCTTCAGATACTTAGTTTAGTGTTTTTACATTTTCTACCCTACTCATCTTCACATGTACATGCATGCTGTGGCACATTGCTGTAACTTATTGTTTTCAATAGATTACAAGCTGCATGATGCATGTATGGTACACTTTAACATTACATGCCACAAATGTAGTAGATAAATTTAAAACAGGGTGGAGCTCATCATTGTGGTTTCTGAAGTGTGAATGCACCCATGTACACAGTTTACTGAAAGAGGAAAAAACTGATTGCCAGGCAGGCAGTTTTGCTCAGCGTAGAGTGTGAAATGAACTGCTCACCCCAATCAGTCAGGTTATCTGGGTAATAGGACTGAATTTGTTGTATGGCAACAGTTTCTCTGGTACTGTGGTTTAACACCTACAGAAGCACCACAACGTAGTCTTAACATTCCCACGATCCTCTGCCAGGCCCAGCTTTAGCTCCCTGTGAACTGACACTGCTGTGACAATGATTATTGTTGTGTTATGTTTTTGCTCATGCATATATAGGCATTACTGAGTCTGACAAATAGGCATTTTTATATGAAAAGTGTTTTTTTTAGGAAAGTGCCTGTTTGTTTGGTCTTCAGGGATAGCAGTTTGTCAACTTCTCCATGCCTGCAAGTCTTAAATGCTGTCAGTGTCAGAGGGCCTAAATGTGACAAATCTCAAGTCAAAAAACAAATGCTCGTGGGCCATAAGGTTAGGTTGTTTGTCACACATAACAGTTCCAGTCACAAGAATAAACTTCCATATGTATATATGTGTGTGTGTGTGTGTGTGTGTGTGGGTGTGTGTGTGTGTGTGTGTGTGTGCGTTTCTGTGTGTGTGTGTGTGTGTGTGTGGGTGTGGGTGTGTGTGTGTGTGGCATTTTAGGATCATTCCATGAGTTACAGGGGAATTTTCTTTTACATTTTACAGACTTGAGTCAGTGGAATAGTTTATTAGTTGCAGCCCTAGTTTGTGGAAGTTAACCAGCCAGGTACAAAAAGTAGAATTTGATTAAATTGTATTTAAATTTTTCTACAACTCATATCTCACATTTTAAATGAGCTAGTAATTTTGCCAGAAGTGTTGTCCTGAAGTTTAGGGATAGACTTTCTACCTCAAGTTGTTTTTCTCATTTTCTAGCATTAATTACAAGTTAAATTACATTATTACAGGTAAAATATATTACGGGTAAGTCTCTGTGGACTGTTATCACGAATGTGGTTATGTGTACTCTCTGAACACACACAATATTGTTGTACTATGTAGTTGGTAAATTGGTGCACCAGCATTTGGTAATGTGGGCAGAAACCCAACCAAATGATTTACCAGGAAACCGTTAAGAATTGTTTTGCTGGTTATGGGGTATCACTTTTGGTTTTAGTTCTTTGGGTGTTGTCCTTTTCTGTGTTTTTCCTTTACCAGCTGTTTTTATATATTTCCGTTCTCCAGAAGATGTACTGCAGTTCATAACTTAAAGAAAGATTTGTGTTGGAACATAATTTGAATTGTTTGCAGTGCTACATGGGGATGTGAAACTTTTGTGGCTTTCAAAAGCTGGTCGGTAGGTTTGAAGTGACACTGGAAGTGAAGCAGGGCGTGGGCTGAACTGTGAGAGCCAGAGAAATTTCAGTTTGTATGTTTTAGTCCAGAACAGATCATATCAGGTCTTGTGTTATCAACATAATTCACTAAGCTGAGAATTGTGAGACTTTAGCTAAAGTCATGTTTTTTTCCCAGCTATCAGTGAACATATCTACTTATTTTGTGTACATCCTCCTCTGGAGATATGAGTAACCTGAAGCCTGTGACTTGTCAAATTGTTGTCACCTGACAAGCATTAGTGTTGTGATTTGATTGATAATGCTTGTTTTTTTCTTACATTCATTTAAGAGGTAGAAAAAAGATTGCTGATGATATAAAAAGTGCCTCATAAGGAAAACTCTCTTCTCTGTGATGATGTCTACCTCCATTTTTTATGTCTTTAGGTAAGACTACACCAGTGAGCATGAGTGGCACAGCTGACTCCTCCAAACCATGTGACCCCTTCCAGCCGTTCAGCGGTGACGTCATTGACCCGTTCCAGAATAAAAAGGGCCTGGGAGACCCATTCAGTGGAAAAGACCCTTTTGCCCCATCCTCAGCATCAAGTAAACCCCCTAAAGACTGTACTTCAGGTTTTACAGACTTCAGTTCTGTAAGTTGAGATAAGTGATACTGTTTACTGTAAGTGTCCACACCAGGCCACACAGCTCTGCACACACACCTGCACAGTTACAAGATTTCACGTCACTGCGACTGAAGGACACCACTTAAAATTTCTGAGCAGTGGTAATGGACCATAGTCATCTGTATAGATCCTCACCCATAGTCCAGCAATCATGGATTAACAGCAAAGTTTAACACTCATAGCGTAAAATACAGTTTTACTACCGGTGTTAATTTTAAAGTAACTAGAAGTTTACTCTGGGAATGCAGTCATCTGCTAAGGCCAAGGCCCTATTTTGTAATTTTACAGAAAGTGATCTGGGTGATATGATATGGTATGATGTGATGTGATGTGAGATGATATGACAGGAACCAGGACTTTCGTGATCCATGGCGTCCCTAATTCGTAGTGCCAAAAGTTCCGTTCAGGAATAGGATGTGGCATCTCAATCATTACTGTGTATTTTTAAACATGGTATATTGTTACTGTATTGTTGCTAATTTGACCTAATTACAAAGAGAATGGAACAACACTACGAGAATGTTCCTTTCTAGAAGTAAATGTCTAAATGTATATTCAGTTGTGTTTGAGCAACAGTCTTCAACCATAGGTCAGTCAGTTATTACAGAAGGCTTACACAATCTGTCCTCTTCACACTTGATAATGTATGAGATATAAATCACAATAGTAGCAGGTGGAAATGGGGTGCTTTGACAGTAGTACATGAGTTAAATAGTCAATATAACCTGGTGACTAGATGTTGTCCAGACAACGTCTAGAAATGCTTACACAGAGATAGCATAGGTTATGCTTTTTCGTCAATTAATCCTGGGTAATCATATAATACTATACTAAGACTGAGTGTCAATATAAACTCACTGAGGTCTTTACAAGGAACACTGTATTAGTACTGAGTAGTGCTTCTCTGTGATGTCAGAACAACCTAAATTCTTCACGGTATGGATCTTGGATGTTAAAAACAGTGCATTGGGATACTGGTCCAAGCTGACATTATTGCATCACTTCTATTCTGCAAATTTGTCAGCTGCACAATCATGCTGTCAATTCCAGAGGTCTTTCATTGGAAGCAAATCTGGTGACAGAGGATGCCATTGAAGTCCACTGAATTAATTGTGGTGTTTGTGAAACCAATTTGAGATGACGTTTGCTTTGTGACGCATCGCAATGTCATGTCAGAAGTAGCCATTAAAAAAATGGTAAATTGTGGCCTTTAAGAGATGCAAACCCTGAATGATTGGTAGTGAGTGACTTGAGGTGTGGCATGAGTTTTCCATGTGTTTACATTTCAACTTCCAACCTATATTGTTGATACAAGACAGGTTGGGTCAATGGATTAATGCTGTTGGTGCAAAACACTGATTCCACCACTTGTGTGCCCCAGTGGAAATCAAGATTTATCAGACCAGACTGCATTTTTTTGATCTTCTGCCGTCCAGTTTTGTAAGTCTGAGGCCACTGCAGCCTCAAATATTTGTTTTTGGCAGACACAAGTGGAACCTGGTATGGTCTTCAGTTGATATAGCTCATCTACCTCAAGATTGTACATGCTGTCCATTCTGAGGTGTTTTTTGTTCCCCACAATGGTAAAGAGTGTTTATCTTGGGAAACCGGATACTCAGTTTTGCCATTCTCTTTTGACTCTCTCCACAAAGAGATGCCATTCCACAGAGCTGACACCCACTGGTTGTTTTTTGTGGTTTTCACTTTTTTGACTAAACTCTGAAATAGTCAAGGCAGCCCATCTGACACCAAAAATGATGGGAACGTACTGTGACACTCCAGAACCGTCTTTGCCACATGATTGACTGATTGGATAATTGCTCAAGTGTTCGTAATAACATGATTGGTTAGTGTAGATTTTTCATGTTTTCATGGATGGTGATGTTGATTTAAACTTCATCGTTCCACTCCAAATTCTTCACACAATGACATAAATAATGTAATTTGTATGTAATTTCATTTGTCACCATCAAGTTGAAAACAATATACAGTGAACTTATAAAACTGACTGCACTGACCTAGTTTATGTGTTTAATATTTTAGCCAGCTAACAAGGTAGGATGACACAGGACTCAGGTAGCTTGCTGACTCAGTTTCAGATTCTCTGATGCTCGTCATTCTAACCGTTTTCTGTTCTTCATGTTTACAAGCTTCTCTGTTAAAACACTCACAAAAATACCCCATCTCAGCTTTGAAAAATGGAATTGGTGACAGTTTTCTAGAGTATTAAAGAAATAGTTTTAGAAAAAAAAAGTTCATTTTTTTTCCCATAGCAGAAAGAACTCAACTCTGTTGATATACAGAACTGGGGTCTGGACATTGTTTGCTTCGTGTGAGGACTCAAATCAGAGGACAACAGTTACTTTGGTTCTGTTAAAAAGACACACCTACTAATATATTGAACACTTCCTGATTAACATATTATATCTCCTAGTTAGGAATGGAGAAAAATGCATTTTATTGTCCCTGTTTGTAAGATCGTTTGGGATTTAAGGGATCGTAATGTGCTGGAACTGTTTCTTCATGAATAACAGCCTAGTGCTGGGACTGTGCACAGTGTCCCGGAGTTCTGTTGTCGCTGTGAGTTTGTGACCAAAACCGGTTTTGACCAGCAGAATGTGTTGATCTGTGCCTTAGCCAGAGATTAGAGGTAGACTTGTGTACCAATACTGATCATTATTACTTAAAGAGTACGAGATCCAGTATTTGGAGCTAATTTACAGTAAATTGACAATCCTGTTGTCTACATTTAAAATACAACAAACTTCAACTCCAAACTTTGTTGAAATGCCATTTGTTTATTTGTATTTTAGATATTTATTTTTAAAGAGTGCTTTTCAACTTACGTGTTAGGATGGGATGGGATAGGATACTGCTGGTGATGTGTAACCAATAGCAGGAAAATTGTCCCCTAAATTGTGGGAACAATGACAGTTGATCAACCATAAAAAGTTAGGGGTTATCACATCGAAACTTATTTGCCAGTTATAAACTGTATCCAAGTATCTGACGAGCCCATTTTAACTGCACCAGACAGTCAAAGAGATACTGTCAATGACAAGGAGGCAATATCTAAAGTTACACCCATTCTCCACAGTGACACAACATTTGAACTCACTTTAGAAATTGCAGTTTGATAATTCAGATGTACAGGTTGCAGAGTTCGGACTCTTATCTTCCTCTAATGCAGGAAAGGGTGTGACCCTTTTTGTGGTTAGTTTGTTTTGGCAGGAAGAATATCATTGGTTTCCCCACACTTTGACAGAGGCTGAGGGCTACTATCAGCAGTCTGTTGCACTGATGCTTACAGCCACTATTTGAAGAGTCACTGAGAGCGCACATACAAAAATTAACAGACACCTGTTGTGCTCTTGAAAAGGTCGTCAGTCCAACACGGGGCTAACATACAGCCTTTTGTTGGACTCTTTCTAATTGCTACTTTTCATACTAGTATTGACATCTGCAACCATGAGTGATCATTTAGCCCAACACTGCCACACTAATTCCTCTGATAATCACAAAATACTTTGCATTTCACTTTTCAGTCTTCCAGATGATCATTTTTTGGACAGATAATCCCTGGTTTCAGCCTGGGTTAATGCTTGTGTCTAAATGACTGACTTATACCACTCAGTTTAAGCACTTGTCAGATTACTCTATCTCACACAAGATACAGCAGTATCACTACTCAGCTGTCAGATCCTGAGTCTGTTTGCCCTGCATGGCCTTGCTGTGGATGTGTGTGTGTGTGTGTGTGTGTGTGTGTGTGTGTGTGTGTGTGTATGTGTGTGTGCATGTGCATTCGTGCTGCTATGTTTTCCATTTGTTTTGTTGTTTGTAATTGATTTGTGTTTTGTATCTGCTATTTATTTTGGTTCTGCATGTCTTTGTCTAAATATGTCACTTTATCTTGTCTTTCTCTTCACAACTCTGTAGAATCCATCCATGTTACATCTTTTTGTAACCTGACAGCACCTAGTGCTGCTTCCACATGTGTTTTTATGGAACCTCAGATACACACTGACAGCTTTACTGTTTATTCAGAAAGGCATTATTTGTGAAAATTATTTCATTAGCATGACTTAAAATTGATGTTTTTGCTCCTGTCACATTTTTCTTTACCGTGGGCTCATTTCTTACTACAATATAAAGTCCCGCACCTCTATAACAGCACAACCATAATTAGCAGGAGAGGGAACTCAAAAATAATTTCTTTGCAGTGTGACAAAGGTATTATGCCATCAATCAATTAATGAGAGGAAAAAAAAAAAAAAAACTGAATTAATTTAATTATTCACTTTCTAAAGTAGAAATAACCCTAGAATCACCATTTACAACACTTTTCTAAGTGCCCGCATTTATTACCATTACTAGAAAACTGTATAGCATACTATATACATACCATAGACATTTATTGTGTACTTCTTAAATTTATGTAAACACAGGCTGCAGTTCAGCCAAAAGCTCTCACTACTTGCGACTCGTGACTCACACAGCTGATTCACTAATGGCTTCTTGGTTGGACCAAGGAGCACACAATTCTTAATCTTTTACAAAATCCAGGAATTGGAAAAAGTTTATTTATTTATTTATTTATTTGTTTCACAATTTTTAAATTATACTACTAGAATAACGTGATATGGTTGTTTTTACTGCTCAAATCAAAACATCACACATGAGTAGTTCAAGGAGTGCTAGGAAGTCTTGCTTTAACGTGACATTTGTTTGACAACAGGCATAACACGCCTTTTAAAACCTGCAGATCAGGTTTTGGGGTTTGAAAGGTAATTCAAGGGCTTGAAAATAAAAACATTCCTTCCTACTTTAGTAAATTATATGAGATTGTAAAAATTTTGATTAGATAACAGGGGAACTGTCCTACCCTCAAGGAATAACAGAATAATAGACTGAGGCTTTTCTGTGAATTCTACTTGATCCAAGTTTGCAAAAGTCACTCCGGTTATTTCTGTACTGTCTGGCCTTACTGTTCCAGCTTGACAGCTGATTTTCAACAAACGTTTGTACAGATTTCTTTCTTGTAAATTCTGCTAGCACTACTTAACAGTTCAGAAAAAAACCAAAAAAACTTGCTAACATATATTTACATTACTATGAAGACACATTTAATTCATTAGTCGTGTGGTATGGTCATACCATCTTACAGCAGTACAACAAGTTATTGGGTGAAATCAAGACATATGCTTGAATGGGCATGTTTCCTGAAATCCCCGTTTTGTGCATAAACTCAATATATACTACAGTTAAAGTTTCAGACACAATGCGTTGCTTCTCATTCTCTGCATGCATCTATTGTTATAGAGGTCTCTATTTTTCTTTAGTTGGCAGCATAATATATTTCTACTTGAAGGGATTCACTGAAAGTTTGGTTTCACTACAGTCCACTTGTCTTACATGTGGCACTTCAGCAGCAAATGTCTACTTCAGCTTCAATAACTTTTAGCTTTGTAATAATTCATGATTGACTTTGATTTAATACTGTAGCTTGAAGGTTGTAGAATAACTTGCAAATTACTCAAAGGTGAAAGACAAAGACAAGGTAAAGACAGGGTTTCAAAGAGGACTGCACAGAAACTCTTCAGGTATCCCTTTACAGTGTGTGTGTGCTGTGGTGTGGTATCTTGTAAACTAACCTAGTTCCACTGAGTTCAGGGTTTTTTGGTTTATAATTTCTCTGTTTTGTAATCCATCTCTCTGACAGGACCTGAAAAAGTCAAGGTAAGAGACTAAACACAATGAAATTCACATTAAAAAAAACAAGTTGGCAATGTTTCTCAAAATGCTTGTTAGTGACCATGAAGTCAATGCATTTCATATGTACACTACTCAAAAAAATAAAGGGAACACCTAAACAACACAATGTAACTCCAAGTCAATCACACTTCTGCAAAATCAACCTATCCAGTTAGGGAGCAACATGATTGTGAATCAATTTCACCTGCTGTTGTGCAAATGGAACTGACAACAGGTGGAAATGAGAGACAATTAGCAAGACAGCCCCTATAAAGTGGTTCTGCAAGTGGTGACCACAGACCATTTCTCTGCTGTCATCCTTTCTGGCTGATATTTTGGTCACTTTTACATTTAGTCAGTGCTCTCAGCCCTAGAGGTAGCATGAGGTGGTGTCTACAACCCACACAAGCTGCTCAGGTAGTGCAGCTCATCCAGGATGGCACATCAATGCGAGCTGTGGCAAGAAGGTTTGCTGTGTCTCACAGCACAGTGTCCAGAGCCTGGAGGAGATACTAGGAGACAGGCCAGTGCACCAGGAGATGTGGAAGGGGCCGTAGCAGGGCAACAACCCAGCAGCAGGACGCTACCTCCTCCTTTGTGCAGGAGGACCAGGAGGAGCACTGCCAGAGCCCTGCAAAATGACCTCCAGCAGGCCCCTAATATGCATGTTTCTGCTCAAACTGTCAGAAACAGACTCCATGAGGGTGGTGTGAGGGCCAGACGTCCACAAGTGGGGCTTGTGCTTACAGCCCAACACCATGCAGGGCGATTGGCATTTGCCAGAGAACACCAAGATTGGCAGATTTGCCATTGGCACCCTGTGCCCTTCACGGATGAGAGCAGGTTCACACTGAGCACATGTGACAGACGTGACAGAGTCTGGAGACGCCGTGGAGAACGTTCTGCTGCCTGCAACATCCTCCAGCATGACCGGTTTGGTAATGGGTCAGTAATGGTGTGGGGAGGCATTTCTTTGGAGGGCCGCACAGCCCTCCATGGGCAAGCCAGGGGTACCCTGACTGCCATTACGTAACAGGATGAGATCCTCAGACCCATTGTGAGACCATATCTGGTGCAGTGGGCCCTGGGTTCCTTCTGATGCATGACAATGCTGGGCCTCATGTGGCTGAAGTGTGTCAGCAGTTCCTGCATGAAGGCATTGATGCTATGGACTGGCCTGCCCATTTCCCAGACCTGAATCCAATTGAGCACATCTGGGATATCATGTCTCGTTCCATCCACCAACGCTACTTTGCACCATAGATTCATAATTCATAATCCATAATTTCCACTGAAGTTGGATCAGCCTGTCATGTGATTTTCCACTTTTATTTTGAGTATGATTCCAAATCCAGACCTCCATGGGATAATAATTTAGATTTACATTGATCATTTTTATGTTATTTTGTTCTCAGTGCATTCCACTAAATTAATAAAGATCCATCCATCCATCCATCCATCCATCCATACATCCATCCATCCATCCATCCATCCATCCATCCATCCATCCATTATCTATGCACCGCTTAATCCTCACTAGGGTCATGGGGGGCTGGATCCTATCCCAGCCGACTTAGGGCGAAGGTCATGAATAAAGATTTTTAACTGAAATATTTCATTCATTGAGCGTTAGGATGTGTTATTTTAGTGTTCCCCTTATTTATTTATTTTTTGAGCAGTATATAACACAAACATGCAAAAGTTTTAGTTAGTAAAATTACATTGACAATGCTTCAAAAATGGAATGGTTTATATATTTAGTTACCTCTTATAAATTGCAGTAAATAGAAAATAAAGGTGTGAGCAGCCTCAATGCAGATTCTGCTAGGTACACTTACACACATTTTTTGAGCTACAGTACCAGTTACTTGTGTGCTTTTGAATATTGTGACCAAATGGTTACAAGTTGTATCGCCTTACAGTAATTGCATTACTTTTCGTTGAGTAACACTCGCGTATTTGCTCTTGTGTAAAATTAACAACTAACAATTTAGATTTACTATGTTAAAATTACAGGCTCCGAAGTAAGAACTCAGTGCTACTAAGGTCAGTACACCTTTCATTGCTGAGATTAAAATCTTTCATTTTTTAAAAAAATACTTCGTATATCCACCTGTATTTTTGATGACGGACTCAATCCTCCCTCCAATGCATTATACTGGTGCTTTGCTCACATCCCTGGTAAGATGTTCAGTCATGCTTAAAGAGATTTTTATTTATTTATTGATTGATTGATTGATTGATTTTTACAGCTGCTGAAGTGTTACTCTGCCTTTCTCTTAAAATACCCCAAAGGTGTTCTGTTGGATTCAGTCAGGCCACATACTTGGCCAGGTCATAGATTTCACCTTTTCCTCTTTTATAAGCTGTTGTGTGATTTTGGAATATTCCTCTTCTGCCAAGTCATCTCGTGTTGAGCTTAAGTGCAAGAAAGTTTTTTTTCTTAGATATAGTCAACATAAGTTGAATGTCGAGGACGACCACTGCAGCTCTGATTAGTGGCATGTTCTTAACCCTCGGATTACTGATGCAGCTGTGTTTCCACTGATTTTTAGTTTGTCACCCATATTCCTGTATCCTCTTTGTAAAGGCTCACGTTCAGATTTTTTAATTCCTCTTGCAATTTTGTCCTTGTGAAGCCATAATGCAGACATGCAGAATGACACAGCGCTTAGCTCCAAAACTCAGAAAGTTCTGGTGTTCATAGCTTATTTAACAATCATCTTCATGCAATTAGGCTGATTGGAAATCACAGGTGCACTCAATATTGTTTCACTACACAGATTTTCTAACTTTTGTGTAAATGAACACAGGTGTATGCACTTTTGTTGCAGTGAGTTTCTACTTTGGGGTGTGTATTTTCATCTCAGTCTTTCTTAAGTGTTTGTGACTGTTCATAAGAGGAAATTCTCAACTGTTCAATTAGAAATAATGCAATTATCATGAGTTTTGAATCACTTGTCATTTCGGTGATACTGCAATGGGGTGTACTCACTTTACCTGTCTGAAAAGGGCTTCTCTCATTCTCATTCTTTCTTTCTTTTTCTCTTTCTGTCTGTAGCTTGGGAATGAGGCTCAGCAGTTGGAGTGGGCAAAGCGTGAGAGTGAGCGAGCAGAGCGTGAGCGACTGAAAAGGCTCAGACAGCAGGAACAGGAAGACCTGGAGCTGGCCATCGCCCTCAGCAAGGCAGAGATGTCCAATGCATGACCTGAAATCCTTACCACACACAAAATGCACACATAGCCACTGGCTGAAATGCAGACAAATGTGACTGACATCTAAATATTCAGACATGAAGTACTTCACTGGACTAACTTCCAAGTGTTCATGGAACCCCCCCCCCCCTCACCACCACCACCACCACACACACACACACACACACACACACACACACAGAAACAAGAACAGCACTTCCATATGCACAGTTAATGAGTCGAAGCAGAAAGAAAGAGAAAGAACTCCCAGGCAAGTCTGGTGGCTGACTCTGAATTACAAATCATTACAAGCAAACTATGGGCCAAACACTGATCACTGCAAAACTCTCCTGCTGACATGAAAACAAGGAAAACTGAGGGATAAATGACATTAGGAGGAGGAGGCAAGAGGGTTTGATGGAAACGAACGGATGCACTGTGTATATGCACTATAGTGGCTGGACAATAATGTGATGAATCCATTCACTGGACTAAGCAGACTAGCTGGTCATCGCAGATGAAACACCTCGACAGTTTGTATTTGGGCATGTGTTTTTTTCTCCAGCTACTCTCAGAATGTGGGCAAATGGCATGATAAAATAGACTTTTTTCTTTCATTGTAGCAAGCAACAGTGAAGAAAAATGATACTACAAACTGCCCAGGGTTTTCTTGAAAGATATTTCTTTTTAAAGCAGTGACATTGATATATTGATATATCGTTGCGTTGCTGATGGTCTGGACTGTGTCAGTTAGTATTCTCTCTTGAGTTGTTTTGCTCTTAAGAAAATGCATCTGAATGAGGTGTCACGTAAATATTTGTTGTTGAGAGGCATATGGAGCAGACTGGGTTTGGCACTGCTCAGGATTGAGAATTTTCAATTCCTAGTTTTTAGTTTGTCTTCTTTTTTCAGAAATACTGTCACCAACCCGAGCTTAGATAAGATGTGAGAACATTGATGTTAGTTGAGGTTTTTTTTTTTTTTTTGCCTCCGCTGCAGGCTGTTTTCATCTGCTTAATTCCAGGATAGGCAAAACTCTGCAGAGATGAGAATGTTATTAATTTTCTCATCTGACTCTGGCTGAGCATTTGTCCCAAATATCAGGTTTCCTTTTAATTTCACACCACTAGGTTCTATCAGGTTAGCAATTCATTCACCTAAGGTAATAATCCAAAACTGGATTATTTAGCAGACCAAGTGAGCAGCCCAGGGCCTCATGGCCCAAAGGCTCCACTGTGTGACACTTAGTTTGTGGTAATTTATTTTAGGAATATGCGATACACTACTGAAGCACAGGATAAACTGAGGGGCCTCAAAGCCCTACTTGCTCTATTATCTATTCATAACACCAGTGAGTCCAAGTTTAGACAAACCCAATGAAGTCGCGATGACAGCATTCAGAGGGTTGTTTTTGACAACTGAAGCTACCTGTAGGCCACATTACACAGATCCTACACAGACATTTTCTTTTTCATTATGCTGGTAGAGTAGCACTGATTGTAATGTGAAAACATCTGTATTTGGAAAAAAAATAGATCTTGTAACTGTGTACTTAGTTAAATTACCACAAACTATATCTGTTTCACTCTCGCAAGTTTGTCACACAGTAAAAAGGAAACCTTGGACCCAGCTTAAGTCTGATATGTTCACTTTTGACTTTTGTTTATATTATGGGACATAAAGAAAAAGCAAATGCTTCTTAGCAGCTTTAAAGATCACAAAACAGTTCTTTCTAATGTGACAAGTACCTGATAAATGAACAGATGTCAGCATATCTTTTGAAGTGACAGTAACAAATTGTATAACTATATATTCTTTGTCCATGAGTGTGAGTGTACTGTAGAGAGATTTCTGCAGTGACCTGCAGTACTTTTAGTCTCTGGCCAGTGTATATAGACAGAGCTAACATGCCTCTTCTTGACAGCTGCACTCTGATCCTAATGCTGTGATGTCATACCACATCCAACAAATGAAAGACAAGATGAGGGAATTCATTTTTCCACAATTCATATAGTTTTTGTTTGTTTAAATTAAGGACATTAAACTGTTTTTATTTAATGAGCTAGATATTGTTATATTTTCACGTTTTGTTTCGAGAGCATCCAAGTTAATGTAGTTGTTTTGTGGTATTATTTTTAGTTGAGCTGTAGTCACTCCAGTGCTCTACAGACCAGCAAGCACAAGCTGCAGCATTTGGAAAAGTCTGTGATTGGCTGAAAACTGGAAAGATGTGAAAAAGTGCTATTTCTGATGTGTCATAGTTTAATGTTCCAACATGGACTTAACCACTCACCTTGTGTTTTTGTATGTTGTCCCTTTACTTGAAGTCGCGGCTAATGTTTGAGAGAGACATACTGAAGTGACTAGAGTATGGTTTCATCTGGGCTGGAAAAAAAAGAAAATAAGATTCTGCTGAACTAAATTTCTGAAGACATTGTGTTTCAACCAGACCCCTTTGTCACAGTTGCAGTCAGATGTCATATTGTGTTTTATATATGTGAGACTGTATTCTGTGTGTGACCATGACCAATTATGTACTTTGCTCAGTGTTTTGCCATGTGCTTGCAGTGCAGCTGTATTCTGCTCAGAGCATATACAATCTCCCCAATGTTACTTTAAGAGATGAGCTGTCCCACACTTGTTGGCTTGTTTAAAGCAAAGCTTGTGGACGCACACTGGTCTCATTACCATTCTGTAATGCAGTGCTGATGTCTTCTGATAGAACTAAAATATTTCAGTCACTCAGTCACTCTAAAATAGTTAATCAATATTGACTACATTTGCAACAACAAGAATTTTGAAAACAAATTCTACTTAGTAATTTCTATGGTGAAAAAGTAGGTTTACAGATGAAAAAAAAGGGAATTATATAATTGAATGGATGGAATGGAATGGAAATGGATGTCTGCTGCCACTGTTGGCTGGATAGAAATGCTTCCAGCCACCAGTGGAACTGGAGCTGCATAGATTCTTGTTTGTGAATGAGGCTGAAGTCCTGTTTTATGATTAAATACGATTTTGTATTGCTTATATTGACCTCAAAGTAAATAACCTCACTGTGTTGCAGTAAGTTTGTTGCAGTCTGCCTTCAATGTTACGATGTTAGTAGGCCGCAATGAAGGGAGGATTATTTCCAACATTCCCATAACAAATATGAAGCACATCCAATTTACTGAAATGTTCAAGTTCTGTCAGAAGTCCTTCCAGGACTATAATATTGTGGTCCTCTCTATGATGCAAAAAGCTGTATCTTGTGTGGAACTCCAGGACAAACAAAGTACTTTATAACTGGAAAAGCACATTGTCATCAAAAATAATTTGCAACTACTCAGACTGTATGTTAATTTTGCCTTGGCGCGGGGCCGCAGTAGCCTCTGAAGAAGGCTTTGCTGTAAAAGGTGTCTTTTTTTTGTCAGACAATGAGTATTTTTTGCGAGAGGAGCTGTTTTTACCTTTGACATGTTTCAACTGTCACTTCAGTCTTCCTCAGAAACGTCATCTGACGTCTGTGGTGACTTGTCTTTATCAGCTGGTGGTTTCCTGGAGGCGTGACCCGCCTGGCAATCTGTCAGATTTGGTCGACGGGCCATGCCTCCTGTCGCTCGGTGGTCTTTGCAGGAGAGCGTTATATGTGTGGGACAGCATGAATGCCCCCTCATCACGGTTCATGGTGTCTTTGGCTCATCTCCTGATTTCTATGGCCTCCTCGATCCAGCGTTTAAATTTGTTGTTCTCTGATCTGGTGATCTTTGCGTTGTCCCAGTCCATGATGTGGTTCTTTCTTTTGCAGTGGTCTGATATGAAGTGGTCTCTCTTGCAGAGATCACTGGGCGGCAGGAGGGTGGCCCGTCGGCCAATCTGACAGATTGCCAGGCGGGTAACGCCTCCAGGAAATCACCAGCTGATAAAGACAAGTCACCACAGACGTCAGATGATGTTTCTGAGGAATACTGAAGTGACAGTCAAAACATGACAAGGTGAAAACACCTCCTATCTAAAAAAAAAAATACTCATTGACAAAAAAAATGAAACCTTACACCTAAAATCAAAGTAGACAAAATTAACCTTATCACGCTAATCAGGCTTTGCTGTGATATAGCAAGACGACCTGGTGGTATTTAGTATTACATTTGCTTCTCCAGTCTTCACATTAAACACATGATGGTGCTAAGGAGGAAAACAGCATGACTGAAATATAGAACAAGGATTAAACATGTGATTTTGGGAGTAGAAATGCTAAAAATCCTCGTTATGTGAATTCACCCCAAGTGGACATAAATGCTTGAGTTAAGGTTGAAGTGCAGCCACTGACTGCCAGATAGAAATGTGAACTGCCTCTCCCTGCCATTTTTTGTGTTGTTTACATATCATGAACATTACCTTTCCTGTAGCTGTTTCAACATGTTGTTCTGCAATAGAGGGGTGCCCCTGGTACAGAGTGATTTCTCCCTCTAAGCTGTACACAGCTTAAACCTCCTGAAGAGCTTTTATTTACTCCTGAGCCATAAAACACATGTTGGCATTTCAAATCTTTGCCATGCTTCTGTCACACTGTAGTGAAAATGCTGCTGTCCGAGGAACTCCCTTTTACCTGTTTTTCTTCCTCACTGACACCAAATCTATGAAGCGAGCATGATTTCATCCACCTATTCGCTTTCACTGCTTGACTAACATGGCAATTTATCTCGAATGCCACTTAAAGTAACACACTAATGAAATAGAAACACTGTCTAATCTTCTGTCCTGAAGCAGCTGGGCACAGGTACTTTTTAGTGTTATTTTAATGCTGATATTCAGTGTTATTATATGTAATGTGCTGTAAGCCAGCTAATGAATGAGCTTTGTGGCAGCAGTATGCCATTATGACATACATCTGTTATACCTCAGTAAAGTATGATGACATTTGTTTTCATGCCCATCTTTAATCTGCATCTTGGCAGAAGTTGAATCACTCAGTCAGCTCCTTTGATGTGCACATCCAAACAACCTAGCGTTGAGCTTGAAGTATGCTTCTCCAGGCTGCATGCTTTGCCAGTGTGCACAGGGCTGATTCGAATACGTCTACACTTTATTTAATACTTGTAAATTGTGGTACATTCCTGTTTGCTTCATCTTAGTTTTAAAGTTGTGTCCTGGCAGAAGTTCTGGGTGGAAGAATATGC